AAACATATTTGTTCGGAATCCACACAGTTTAATTAGTCAAATAATAAGCTAAAAAATTAAAAAAAATATAATTATGCCGAAAAGTGCCGTGCGTTCCTTACGCCTTAAAATAATCGTTGGTCTCAAGCAGTCGTTGATTTGTAGTTTCTCTTATAGAATTTACGAAAAGGGCTATTTTTCAAAGTTGTTAAGATTTAAAACTTCCAAAAAATGTATATTAAAAAAAAATTGTTTCTCTTATCTCACAACATTACTATTACAGCAACAAAGTCTTGGAGCTTAATCCCTACATTTTTTATCGGCACAAAAATACAAACCCTGTTTTCTACTCATTTAAAAATCTGAAAAATTTAGGAGATAACTGTAAGGGTACAATGAAAAGCTGATCTCTCACGTAATGGATTCTTTATTTATCGATTTTGACGCTGCTGTTCCGCTCTCGATGAATTTTCTGCGTCAGTTTCTTGATGCCTAAAATTGTATTCATCAGATACATTTGAAGTTTTCCTTCCAATTCACCCTCTTGTGACTTTTGGCATGCTTAAGACTTTTGAGACCCCTAAAGGCTATTTTCTGTCAACTTTGTTAAGTTCTAATATATTTGTTGGCAAGGTAGTTTGATGTCCGATGGCCCTAAAAAAGACTGGTGAGTTTCTTAAGTAAACTTTTTCTTGACTGAAGTTTACAGCAATTGTGACTGCCTGGAAACTTCAGGGTGATCTTCTCTGGCCTGCTGTTAAAGCCCCAGACTTATCGGGAGAAAAATTACAAAGCTTTGGAGCTAGTTATAAAGATCTTTCTCAACGTCTCCTCGTGTAACATCGAAGATTTAAGTGTCTAAAGCACCTTTTTTTTGCAGACTCAGTTGTTTTAGTGATTTAAGATGGGAAGATTGGTTCGTAATCTTGCCCGTTTGAGACTGTCCCATTGGCTCAAGTTTTTTTCCCCTTCATATCTATTAGGTTCGCCCAGCGCAGACCTTGGGAAGGATCGGTGATTCCTGGTTACATGCTTAGAGTCGAGGGGATAATATAGGGTCGTCGGTCACCGCGGTCCCCAGCCATGCGACGAACAACACTGCTCGTGAAATCTGCCAATGAATGACTGACTTTGTTTAATAGTGGCCGGCTTTACGTAGTCTTTTAGTCGACAAATAATGTTTCCGGAAATACTAGTAAGAATGTATTTGTTGGCACGGTCGTTTAAACTCAGGGGGCCCTTAAAACAACCGATAAGATTAAAGGTTAAGTAATGAAAGTAAATACCAATATTGGCCCTGAAAAAGGCCAGTGATGACATTTCTAGTTATTCCTTATTATTATTCCTGATGATGAAGAGCTGGCTACGGGTAGCTTGACTCTTACCCTTGGAGTCTCTGTGTACGGAGACCGTACATAAGTGAGATATACGCCGCTAATCAAAATGTATCTCGTCTTCAGGTCGGTGCCCAGATGACGACCGCTCGTCATTAGTCGAGAAAGTGGGCCTGGAGAATACCTTCTCTGTAGGTATGCCGTTGGAACTATCACTAAGAAGTTGGCAGTTGTGGCTGCCCGTACTCCTTAGGGCTGTCTTCCCTGGCTTATATTTGTAGTAACAATACTCTGACGGCACCAGGCCAGATTGTGGTACGGCCATATAATTCTGAAGTGTCGGAGCAGGATATGATCTTGTTAGGCACGTCGCTTGCTATTCCGCCGGAGACGTTATCGGTTAGAATAAATTTTTCATTAGAGGCACTTATCAATCCTGAAGGTTCCAGGTGAAAGTGAAGACCTAGATCACTTTTACTGATATTATACCTGAATCCATGAACACAGTGTGAGTATCTCCGATGAAACACCTTGTCAGTTAAGCTGACACTCTTTACACTAATGGTGCATTGGGTTCACTCGCCACTGTGTAGCCTTTCCCGGGAGAGGACTCCATAATATTTCAGGACGTCCACTTCTCGCTGGTTAAGCCGGCGCTCTCTGCTGACGCCTGGCATCGGATCCGCTAATCCCTACCTATAGCCCTAACACTTTTTCGCATTTACCCAGGCCTAAAGACCTATGTGGCAAGGAAAGAACCCTGAAATTACTCTGGAGGAAAATTCCACGGAAAAACCTGCCCCGAAATAGCTGGGGATACATAAGAACTTTTTTCGATAATAACAGTTTTTGAAAAAAATCTGCATTCACCGGGAATCGAACCCACGACTCCTAGAACAGCGTTGTATCAGTAACAAGCACTATTTTTATTCCCGATGATGAAGAGCTGGCTGCGGGTAGTTTGACTTTTACCCTAGAAGTCTCCGTGTACATAGACCGTACTTGATGGAGATACGCCGCTGACCAAAGAATATCTCTTCTACAGGTCTTTCCCCGGATAACCAACCGCTCATAGTTAGTTGGGGAAGTGGGCCTAGAAAATACTCTCTCTGAGGGTATGCTGTTGGAAACGACCACTGAGACGGAAGCCGTTGTGGCCGCCCGTGCTCCTCAGAGCTGTCTTCCCTGGCTTACATTTGTAGCCAAAAATTCTCTTACGACACCAGGCGGGATGGTGGAATGGCCACACAACTCTAAAGTGTTGGAGCAGGTTATGCTCTGGCTAGGTACGTCTCCTGGTATTCCGCCGGAGACATTATCGGTTTAAATAATTTTTTATTGGTAGCACTCATTAATCCTGAAGGTTTAAAATGGAAGTAGACCTAGGTTACTTGCCCATTGGTGAAGAGTGTCGTCCGTAAAGGGGATACCTAGCTGCACGACTATTATCGAGATTCTCAATGTAGCTCGATGAACTGCCGATAGCCGACTACAGAAATTTTTGAGACGCTCCAGCCTATTATAACTACACTTATTTAATTCTGTTGCAGATAGCTTCGATTTTATGTCGATGCCACCTAGCGGATCCTACCGAACTAAAGTGAAAAGCTGGCGTATTTTTGCAAAACTTCGAGCTTATTCATTGCTATTGTCATTAAATTTTTCAAGATAAAAACTATACTAAAACCATCTAGGACGTGTCAAGAATCGGTATGCAAAATTTCAGCAAAATCGATTCATTAGTTTTCCCGATTAGTGATTATAGCGGTTTTAGTGACTTTGCTTTATATATTAGTAAGATAAGATATAATTGAATTAATTTATTCATATTATTATCAAACTAAGGTAAAGCATGGACTTTAAAAAGAAACTCATACATACATGTATAGATGTTATCGAACATTGTTTTCTAGTTTTATTCATATATTAATACCATTGTACATGTATGTGGATGCCGTTTCCGTTATTCTAAGTTATATTATTTTCAATCAAGACAGCTCACGGCTTTTCATCGACCTTATACATACTTGAATATTTAATATTCAATACATATTTTAATACATGTCTTGACACCACTCAAGGCGCAAATAATTGGACTTTCGACAAACAAATAATTAATAGTTAAGTTACTTATAGAAATAAGAGTAAGATCATATATAAATATACATAAATTGTATTTTAATTTATATGGGAGTGTACAATTTGGTGCGCTAAGCTTTTTTTAAAAATATTAGTGATAACCTGTGTAAAAAGTTTTAATTTATTATCCATCTAAATGTGCGAAAATAGTAACACATACATAAATTCTTTTAAAGGTTAAAAATTTTAAAAATTTACGTACAGCTTGAAGCAGTAGATTTCTTTGAAAAGTGTTCGCTAATTCTTATCGGAACTTTGTCAACAGGGAGAGAATGCTTTATACTTAGTATATCATTAAATGTAGGAAGAAAATGAGATTGAAGAATGCTTCTTTTATTATTACGAAAGGAATATCGGGATCTAGAAAAGTTATAAAAATGGGAGGTTCATGCAAACAGTTCCTTATTATTGCATATAAGGGTAGATAGCCCTATCATAGACAGTCTAAAGAAAACTTCTAGAAAACTCATGTAATATTAAAGTTGTGCTTAGTTATTCTAGTGTAATTTAAAACAATATCAATAGTTTACCTTACTTATATAAGTGTACATTCTTCTGCACTGTAAAATAATTAATTAGTACATTTATCAATTAAATAAAGAAATTTATATTTAGCTTTATTATCGAGCCCCAAGACCGTCAACGTATCTTTTTACTTCTATCTTTTATTAAAATACTTTTATTGAGCCAGTGATTTAAAGTGTGTTGTAGGCTACATTATTTAATACATATATAATAAAAAATACTTAATGCGTATACATTAACCTCACATTAATATTTCTGCAATTATACCAGTCGTATTATAGATTGCACTTGTTATATTTTTGTTGTTGACGTCAAGTTCATAAAAAGTCTCTATCATAGCCTTATTCATCAACTTAGTATAATGACACTTCTGCTTCCTGTCCTACTAATTTTATGTGTGGTTTCCCATGGACAGGGAACTACACTCAGATGCCCTCAATTTCCACATAGTACAGGACGTTGCGAACAAAATGAGCCCTATTTCAAGGGTGTGTCCAAAAAAGTGACTTGATGCTCGCGTGCATGCCAGCTGACGTATCCGATTTTAATCAAAAAAATTATGATTTCAAATCCAACGTCACGGGAAGACTATTAGTTTCTATAACTGTTTTAAATTTAACTCATACTTGGTAACTCATGAAAGCAGAATGAATGAACCCTTAATATCTTTAGAAAAAAACATGGTACGTTACAAATATAATACACAATACTTTACATGGAACTTTATCTCATTAGATCAGTCTAAATAAAAATTTTTTTATATTTACACTGCCCGATGCATCGATGTTTTTTGAGATCTAAATATTTGATGAAATTTTTTCGAAGAAAGTACTCGAATTTCATATCTACCAACAACACGTACTTAAGTGTAGGCTTACTTTTATGGTTTGATTATGACATATAATAAGCAAAATTTTGAAATGAATCATTTTTTCATGATGTTTTTCACATGTAAATCTGTTCGTAGTGATACAATAGTATAAAATTTAAACACGTGCAAACTAATAATAAATACTTTTTTAGGTAATACTTATCACATACCTATTTGCATCTGGATTATGGATACTCATCCAAACAACGCACCAATGTGTTACGTTACCCCAACTCCAGAAATGAATATAAAAGTTAGCAGTTATGTTGATCACAACGGTAAAATTTACTTACCATATTTACATGAGTGGGTGCCGGTAGGTAAAAATTTTACGTTCTTCGTTAGTCTTAGATTTTTATGTATGAAAATAATATATTTTGAAATATATACGAAAAACTTATTTTCGTAATTTTATGAATAATAATAATAATAATAATAATAATATTAGTTTTGTTGTCCGTCTTATGGTAATAGCTTGCAACTGAAAAACCTGTATAAACAATTTTAAGGCACAAGCGTTGTATGAAATGATGTCTTACTAAAAAAAAATTTATGAATATTATCTTATCAGAATGTTCCATCAATTTTACAAACTATTCAACCTCTTTTCTAGCACTCATCTGATTTATAATACAACTTGAGCATTTTCAAGTCAAGACAAATTAATCTTGTGTTTTTATTGACAAACCAATGGTTTATTTGAAATAAAAAATAATAAAGACAAACTCATAATAATAAAATCTAGGCAGAATTAGAATACAAAACTAGTGCCTATTGATACTTATGCTTAAACGAGTAAATGAACAAAAAAAAATTTAACGTGGCCTTTTGTTTTTTATCAAGTGCTCTAAAGTAGCTATAAAAGTCGGAGAGTGAGTTTTTTTACGTCTTTTAAGCGAATGTAGAATTAAGACTTCATTCGGTGATTAAGCTGCGTGTTAGAAGTGTTCTTTTTAAGCAAATGTAAGGCGAAATTCGGTGACTAAGCTGTGTGAAAAAAGCTCGAGCAAACCACTCTACTGTAGACTTACATAAAAAGTGAATCAAACAGGAATAAGAGAGAAAGGATCGTCGACTTGGGTTCCGAACTTAAAACTTAATGATATAATTCACATTATTAGTAAAAATCGATTGTTTCTGGCTTTACCAAATTTATTTAATCATCAGATAAGACATAATTGGTCGTTGATTAAATTTATTTTCCTAATTCAAATATTTCAAGATTCAAAATTCAATTGATAGAAACATAATTATAGCTTTGATGAATGAATTAAATATTAAGCAAAAACAAGCACATAACGTATGACAAAGACCTTTACAAGGACGTAAGATAAAAAGACAAATAAAATACGCTTTTACTGCATTACATGAGATAGAAATTCAAGCCGTAGGTCAACGTCATCTCGGCGTACGACACATTAACACCACTCCATACATACCACTCGGTGAAATCTAATATAACAACACCGAGTCAACGATTCAAAAGAAAAGTATACTGTAAGTAAGAGTAAATAAGGCCTTTAGGCTGGAGTCCGGTTCCTGACAAAAAAAAATTGAATTTATTTGTTTGTAGAACGAATCTACGAGTTTCGCCCTTCACTTATAAGTTTGGACGTAACACCCGTAAAATTCGCATGCGTTAATACGTATGGGTTGAAAAAAAAAAAAATAGAAGTAAGTTACAGAACAGTAAATTATACAGACAAGTATTATCGCATTCAAGTTTTTTAATATAAAAAAGCGCAGACAAACATTAGAGTTATTAGTTTCGCTTAAAACAGTTTGCTGAACGATTCCTCTATGTCAATAAGAGTACAGTATAGTTCAATAAAAAAAAAGGCTAAAAAGTAGACTATTTTTGTTTGGACCTAAAACAAACTATTAAAAAATCAAATAAAAAATGAAAAAAATAAAGTTTATTTTTTTATGCAGTAAGAGAAAAGAGATAAGTTCAAGAAAATGAAAAGTAATCGCCTTAGTAGAAGACTAAAAACTAAGGGGAATCTAATCTTTTATAAAATTTGTGAATCAGTCAAGTTACAAATTATAAATATGGGTTTGTCCACTGATCCACATTTGTAAATGATAAATTTTTTGGCAATGAAAATGGTAATTATTCGACAAGATTAAAAATTTGTTTCATATAAGGTGACATTAATCGCAAATTATATATTCCCAAAGCAATAAATATTAATTGGTGCTTTGAGAGCATAGCATGCTGCAAGGAGCTCGACGACCGACGTATACTTAATCATTGAGGATGGCGTTCGTTCTGCCTGATTATTGTAAAAATATAAAGGTATAATAGTTTAATTACAAAACTTTACTGCAAAACTACATTAGGACAACTGAAAAGTAGTAAGACTGTATCTTTATTACATAATAATATACATACTGAATTTTTGTGCGTATTAAAATGAGTCACAAAAAAAAAAAACAGTGGTCAGTAGATGTTTAGGTACCTAAGTATGAAGTTATAATATAACAGTATAAAATAACAATGGAAGTGTAATAATTTATTCATGGAACCTCGTATTAAAAAGCCAATAATAAAAAAAAATGAAAACTTTGAAAAAATTTTCAAAAAACAATCGAATATAGAATTATTTATTTAAAAAGAACAATTGATGTTTATAATCAAACCAAATGAAAGAATATACAGTAAATTAATATCCATATTAAAAATAGGTTACGAACCACACTAAGAGAAAGTGAAAGGTTTCCTTATATTAGGACAGCTTGTGGCAGAATGGATACGATACTTGGCTAGCGTGCGAGAGATCACTGGGTCAATTCTCGTAATAAGTTTTTTTTTTGTAAGAAAATCAATTCAAGAACTAAAATTCAAAATTTACTTTCTTCACATATATGTTTTATCGCCAATTAAATTTTTATCGTGCCGCGATTCTTCAACTGAATAAATCATTTTTTTGCTGATCAGAGTAGTAATTCGGATGTTGTTTTATTTCGTAAGTAGTACCCGAAAATTATTAAAGGAAATCTTGTTGAACTTCCATGACGTTGATGTACGACAAAAAAAGGTATAGTTCCAGAGTCTCAGCTGATCGAGCGAATCATAGCAATATTAACAATGGGAACAGTGATACAGAAAAAAGATACAAAAACAGTTTATATCAGTAATAAAAGAGTAAGAACGGAGACAAAGATTTATAGATAGAAATTTCAGAATTTGAAAAAAACAAATTGTGAAAGAAGGACTCAGTAACGAAGAAAAAAAAAGATTCTTAGTTATATGTGTTTAATGAACTGCTTAGCTCACTCGAAACTTATTGAAGAAAGTCTCGAGTAGAAAGCGTCAGCAGGATTATGATTTAATTAGTATTGCGGTATGAATGGTTATCCAAAGGGAAGCAATGACGAAATAAGAAGTCGGATGCGTATCTTAAATCAACAAAGAACTATAATTTTAACAAAAGAATTCAACTACATTTATCCAAAAGAAATACGATTTACATTGCTTTAATTTTGTTAAGTTGCGCGAAAGAAAACATCAATGTTTAAATACGACTAGAAAACGCTGATTTTCGACTTAAAGAGAAAGGAACTGTCTTAAATGTAAAACTAGGCTCACCAAGCCGAGGACGAGAAGAATTGCATCCCAAGCAGCAAAAGTAGAGAGGCAGCACATAATTATTGAATAGCATGATGTGCTTCAAAAACTGTCCCGACTCAGCAGCAGAAAACAGGCTCTCCCGCAGGTGTTACTCGCACACCGGTCTGTAGGCGAAGAGAGCAAGCGCGGGGCCTCGTTGCGTTGAGAAGCCCGAGCGCTCGAGNACCACAGGTCTTCTCGAGGGAATGAGTTTCGTCAACTCATCCAAGACTAAAAGCGCGACGTTTAAGCTGAACTGTGAATCGACTTTGGATTTCACAGACAGGTGCACTTCAGCTTGTGACTTCGACGTGACAGCGCCACCAAGCCCAACAACTGAAATAGCCACCCTAGTAGGTTTTAAAGAGAGTTGCTCAACAACTCGTTTGGAAACGAACGATCGCTGTGAGCCAGGATCGATCAAAGCACGAACTGAAACTGAGTTCCCCTTGGAGTCGACTAGCATCACTTGAGCAGTAGCTAGTAAAACCATACTCTCCACAGAAGTTGAGTTAGCTACGATGGATGAGATCGTGGCAGAACACGACGTCGTAGCTTGCTGTGTCGAGTCATTGTGTTCTGAAGAAGAAGTGCAACCAGTCACAGGTTTTGAAGAGCAACCTGGTCTTGTGACGTTAGCACCTGGGTTATCTGGATGAAGCCTAGTATGATGTTTTCCTTGACATATAAAACACCGTTTGGCTGAAGAACATTTATCGGCAAAATGGGAAGCCTGAAGACAGTTCAGACAGAGCTTCTCCTTTTTGCAAAACTGAACCCTTTGTTGGATTGACATGTCTTTGAACTTTTTGCACCCGAAGAGCCAGTGCGTACCAGAGCACAACGCGCAAAACGGGTTTGACTTGTTAGGAGTAGAATCAACAGTTTGGGTTGTATGGACAGCCGCTTGTTTTTTACTGACTGACTGAAAACCTGAACGAGCATCGGATTTTTCTGCCGTTGTACGCGACTGCTCCAAACTTTGAATTCTACGTTCGAGAAACTTAGTTAGATCCTTATATGAAGAAAATCCCTGTTTTCCCTCTTGTGAAATCTCCCAGTTTTCTCGTGAGATAGGATCTAACTTTCGAATGATACAATGAGCAATAAAAGAATCAGCCTGAGCGACCTCACACTCTAAATCTAATAAAGCTCGTACTGTTTCCTCGATCTGATCTAAGAGATCGTTCAGGTCTTGTGCGTTTCGTGCACGAACGTTAGGAAGTTGGATAAGTTTTTCCATATTGTTATAATGCCTGAGTCTTATATTGTCGTACCGACGAGTAAGCTTTTCCCAAGCAATGGTATAATTCGTATCAGTGATTTCTAAACCCTTCAACCTGTGCGCGGCTTTTCCCTGTACTGAAGCTAACAGGTGTGATAGTTTCGCGACATTTGAGAGGTTCGTTTTGTTATGAACCAGCGAAGTGGAGCGTTGTTTAAAGGATTCCCACTCTTCGTGATTACCGGAGAAAGTAGGTTACGAGAGTGCTGGAAGAGAAATCTGATCAACTACCGCAGGATTAGGCGTAGGGTCAATAGTTGGCCGTGGGACCGGCGAGAGATCTTTGATTCGCTTACGAATGACAGATTTGGCATGGGTGTAACTATCTTCCGCTTTTGAGTAACAATTTGATTTAAAATAAACGTGTTCTGCTAAGCTAACCTCGTCGAGATCGTCATGAGATTCGAAAAACTGAGCC